TCTGACTCACTGCTGTTGGTCAGAGGCGAGACTTCGGGAAGGCGGCGTCGAGCTGCAAAACCCGCGCCGAGACGGACGTTCCACGGAACTACACGGCCAAGCGCAGCCCGTCGGGGCCTGGCGTCCTGGAGGTCTCGACCTCGAAGATCGCAGCCCCGTCGACCTGGCACGCGGCGTCGTGAGTCGGCGTCTCCAGCACCGCCCCATCAGGCGAAGGCGCCACCGACCTGGTTGGCCCCGCTGCGCCACGGGCCGTCAACGAAGGCCGCAAGGGGAGCCCCCAGCTGGCCAGCAGCTCCGCCAGCAGCACCGCGCCCACCGTCTTGCCAGACTCCCGCGGCCGCCGCGCCTGCAGCAGCTGGGCCAGCCGCCGCGGCGGCAGGCGGCGGGGGGATGCCAGCGCCGCCACCCGCAGGGGGGGCCGGCCGCGGGGGCGCCGACGAACGCGGCCCAGCGCCAGCCGCTCCAGGTGGCCCAGCGCCGCCAGCCCCGCGCCCCCTGGGAGACCCGGGGCCGAGCGCGGGCGCGCCAGGCGGGCGCGCCGCCCGGGGCAGCGCCTCTACCTCCCAGCGGAGCGACGGGAGGGAAGGCTGGCGGGGCGCCACCAACAGGTACAGTGCCAGCCCCTCGGCCTCGACCCCCGGCGCGGCCCGCCGCTGCGCCGCGCCCGCGGGCCGGAGCCCCTTCGCCTGAGCCTTGATCTTCGCCTTTCCCTTGGCCTTTGCAGTGGCCTTGGGGGGCGCCGAGCAGCCCGGCACTCACCGAGGCACCGTACCTTTCGGGGGGCGAGAGGAGGAGGAGGAGGAGGAGGAGGAGGAGGAGAGGAGGAGGAGGAGAAGGAGGAGGAGGAGGAGGAGGATGAAGAGGAGGAGAGGAGGAAGAGGAGGAGGAAGAGGAGAGGAGGAAGAGGAGGAAGAGGAGGAGAAAGAGGAGATGAAGGAGGACAAGAAACAATGGAGTGCATGCTGGTGGTCTGGTCTGGAAGATGCAGAGGGATGGTGACCACCGATGTGTATATGTATACATATATATATATATATATATATATATATATATATCGTCCTCGTTCACACTGTATGCGTATATGTATATATATATATGTATACACATATATCGGCCTCCTGGCTGTACACCGAAATCTCTGTCGAGTTACATACCAATCTCCCTATCTAAAAAACTGGGGGTGACTCTGGGACAACCGACGGGCAACCCAAGAGGACACTCATAGGCTCATAGGTGTAAACGCTATATATATGTATATGTACATGTATGGATACATGTATATGAGCATATGTATAAAACATGTCATAACTTACTGCCTACATGCCACATCATAACATATATGTATATGTATGTCTATTTCTATGTGTATACCTGTATCGGAGGTTGATGTGAGGGGTGAGATTGCAGGGGAACGGAGACCGCCAACCAGGAAATCGTTTCGTCTCGTTCGTGTCGTGCGTGCGGGCGAGGCGAAGGTGCGGGGGGCGCGCGAGGAAGGAACCCGCCGTTGCTACGGCGAAATCAAAAAAATGGTTATCCCCCTCCCGCCTGTCCTGCGGTGGCCCGCAATGGCCGGCGGTCTCCCGTGGTGTCCGCCGTTGCTAAAGGCGAAGTCAAGACAAATGATTATCCCCCTCCCGCTCGTCCAACGGTGGCTCGCGGTGTCCCGCGGTGTTCCGTGGTGTCCCGCGGTGTCCCGTGGTGTCCCGTGGTGTCCCATCGAGTGAAATCGATAATGGGATCGATACTGAGATCGATGCGATGCCCCGAGGTGTCCCGTGGTGTCAGGTGGTGCCCCAAGAAATGAGATCGATAATGAGATCGACAGGTGTCCCGTGGTGTCCCGGATAGTGAGATCGATAGTGAGATCGATAATGAGATCGGTGTGTCCCGATGTGCCCCGTGGTGTCCTATGGTGTCCCGTTGACTGAGATCGATAGGGAGATCGATAGTGAGACCGATAGTGATATCGAGTGGTTTCACTTGGTGTGGTGTCCCGTGGTGTCCCGTTGAGTGAGATCGATAGTGAGATCAATAGCGAGATCGACAAATGTCCCGTGGTGTCCCGTGGTGTCCCGTGGTGTCCCGTTGTGTCCCGTTGAGCGAGACCGATAGTGAGATCGATCGAATCAGATGTTGGTTCCCCCCCTCCCCTCCCCCCTCCACAACCTCCTTATCACCCGAAGGGTGGTCGTATAGGTAGAATTCCCTACCTACACTCTGCCTGGAAGGGTTCTTACCCTCTTGGCTTAAAGGGGCCGGGCAGTGGAAAACGCCCCGGGCGGTTCCCCCAGGATCCGCCCCGCGGTTCCTCCAGTTACGTCCCCTTAGCTTAGCGTTGCTTATCTCATCTTAGCTCAGCCTAGCTTAACTTAGCTTGGCTTAGCTCAGCTTCGCTTAGCCTAACCTAGCTTAGCTTAGCTTAGCTTAGCCTAGCCTAGCTTAGCTTAGCTTAGCTTAGCTAAGGGACAGCGCAGCATTAGCACAGCATAGCATAGCATAGCATAGCATTAGCATAGCGTAGCATAGCAAAGCATAGCACAGCGCAGCATAGCATAGCATAGCACAGCACAACATAGCATAGTATAGCATAGTATCGCTCAGCATAGCACAGCGCAGCATAGCATAGCATAGCACAGCACAGCATCGTATAGCATAGCGCAGCATAGCATAGCATAGCATAGCATAACATCGCATATCAAATCATAGCATAGGATAGCATAGCATAGCGCAGCATGGCATCGCATCGCATCGCATATCATAGCGAAGCATAGCATAGCACAGCACAGCACAGCATAGCGCAACATAGCATAGCATAGCATAGCACAACGCAGCATAGCATATCATAGCATAGCCTAGCCTAGCATAGCGCAGCATGGCATATCATAGCATATCATAGCGCAGCATGGCTTAGCATATCATAGCATAGCGCAGCATATCATAGCATAGCATAGCATAGCATAGCATATCACAACACAGCGCAGCCGAGCGTACCCTAGCATAGCATAGCATAGCGCGGCATAGTATATGTAGATGTAGATGTGAGTGTAGTTGTTGATGTAGATGCATGTGTGGATGCATGTGTACATGTAGATGTAGCTGTAGGTGTAGATGTGGATGTAGGTCTAGATATAGATGTAGGTAGTAAGCTGCACTACTACTACTACTACTACTACTACTACTACTACTACTACTACTGCTACTGCTACTACTACTACTACTACTACTACTACTACTTACTACTACTCACTACTACTTACTACTACTACTACTATACTACTACTGCTGCTACTACTACTACTACCATTACGACTACTACTACTACTACTATTACTACTACTACTACTACTACTACTACTACTGCTACTACTACTACTACTACTACGACTACTACTACTACGACTACTACTACTACTACTACTACTACTACGACTACTACTACGAAAACTACGACTACGACTACGACTACGACTACTACTACTACTACTACTACTACTACCGCTACTGCTACAACTGCGACGATGAGGAGAAGGCGGAGGACGGCGTTTACCATTACTACTAATATTGCTCTCCTGGGGGCTCCAACTCCTAGGTAGGGTCGCTCTGGGATACTTGTACATATGTGCACATATATATACATATATGTGTGTCTGTGTGTGTCCATCCATCCATCCATCTGTCCATCCATCAAGCGACACGAAAGAAACATAACCGAACATCAGCAACTGTGCAGCGCCCACTCCCGTCACGAGGAGACGCGGTCGATGCCCCAGCAAATACTTCGCCTCTTTGACGTGCAGCACTTCATGGGAAATTCAGACACCTCGATGCATCAAAGACAGGCGCGCTGCGGCGCACCCCGCCCGTCACTCATACAGACCACGAGATGTGTCAGGCGCTGCTCATAACATGCTGCGAGGGCGCCTTCTCGATCGACCCCGAACCGAGTTGGACGATAAGTGCCCCTGGATCGTGCTGCACGACCAGCGAAACTTACCCACATGACAGCACCAATATCTAAGCCGAACCCAGAGCGCCATTCTCGACAGGGGTGCACCTGGAGCTGCGTCTCTTGCTGGCGAAGTAGCTCGATGGCGCACTGATTCAGCGAGGTGAGCTGTTTTGGCGAGCCTCCACCGCAGCAAACTCCTGTCAAGCAAGGGACTGACTGTGTACACTTTTCGGGAGCTGGGCGAGAGCTGGCAAATACGTGGCTGCTAAAACGGTCTTCGCGGGAGAAAAAAACACATTCCCGGAATAAAACTCAGCGCACTGAATAGGACACGGGCTGCTTCCCGGAAAACAAAAAAAATCCCGGAGCTCTGTTTTAGCAGCCACGGGTTTGCGAGCCTTCGCCTGGCGCCTGACCTTGGGCCTCCTGATCGCGTGCATTGTCCCCCTCTTCCTCCACCTCAGCGTCGCAGGTCGTCCTTTCTAGTGCGACTCGGGGAAGGATCCGCGTGCGTTCTCGCGCCCCCGCGCTGCCCCCTGGAGACGGGTGGCAGCCGTCCTGCTCAAGGCCGCGAGACGCGCGACGCGCGACTGTCTCTCTTCGCGCCCCTGGGGGGTGACCCGGGGAACGCTCTGGAGCGACTTGTCCACCAGGGCTGGACCTAAACGTTGTTGTTCGTTTTCTGTTCGTTTTGCTTTCCGTTTTGCTACCTGTTTTCCTCTAACTCCCTCCCAAACGAAAAACAAAACACAGCCGAAGTTCAGCAGAACAGCACTTAGATCCAGCCATGCTGTCCACATCCTCGGAATGCCTGAGGGGGAGAGGGGAAAGCCCAGACCCCCGACGTCAGGAGTTGTCCGCGGGCCCCCAGAGGGCTCGACCCAGTCCCCGGGACCGGACTTTGCATCCTGAGTGGCTTTTGAAGGTCCTGGCGCGGCGAGGGCCCCCAGAGGCGAACATAGCAAAAATGACCGGCGGTCGCGATCTTGTTTGCGACGCGAGCGCTGCTGGCACGGCCGAACCAGAAGTCCGTCCCCAGCCCCTCCGAGCGGCACAGCGGCCGGGCAAGGGCGCGCAGCATCGCTCCCAGAAGTGATGGGCCGATCTTCCAAACCACTACCAAAGAGTCGGGGGCGATTGGAGAGGACACGCGAGAGGACACTAGACCCTTCCGAGAGCCACGTTGCCATAGGAACGTAGAAGGCATGGATAACGAAGCACAGGATACAAGGGTACAGTTGATTTGGCAGGGCCGACCTACTGGTCGACCTCGACTGCAGGTAGGAGAGAGAGAGGAGGAGGAGAAGGACCTCCCCATCTCCCCTATCCTACCAGTGGCGGTGGTGTTGGAACAGGGGCCCCTCAAGAAGACAGACGGGGGGGGCGCGCAAAAGATCGGGGAGGAGAGCGGCTGCGAGCGGCTGCGGGCGCAACAGATGTGGGCCTCGAGCTGGCAGCGCGCCCCGGGAGGAGGGCAAAGGCAGTCTGGGCCTCGCGGAAGGCTTTGCATGCCACCGGCCCTCTGAGAAAGACACGGGCAGATCCCCAGACCCACGGCGTCATGATTCTTTCAAAACGTCGACCTCCAAAGGTCTCGACCCGTTCCCCTGGACCGGCCTTCCATCCCGAGTCGTTTTTTTGACGGCCCCAGGGCCCGGCGAGGGCCCCTCGAGGCCAAAATTGGCGAACATCCTCCGTCGTGATCTTCTCACGACGCGAAGGGGTCAGGTTTTTCAGAGGTCGGGAGGTTTTCCGAGAAACCCCGCCGCCTTCCAAGAAGGTCCGCCCCCTCAGGACGTAACGGCGGGGTTAGGGCAGCGGTGGGGCCAGAGAAAAAGCTCTGGTTGACCCAAAAGGGGGTCCAGCGAAACGGGGGCGGTGCAATAGATTTGGTGCAATAGATTTGTGGGTTTGCAATACGAAATGGGGTGTGCAATGCATTCCGGTACGCAAAGGTATTGCTGGATTTGCGCGTGCAATACATGACTTGCAATACAATGCAATACAATTCTCTGGCGCAACACATGTGCAGTATAATTGCCCCAAATCTGTTGCACCACCCCATTTCACCTGGACCTCCTTTTGGGTCACGAGGAAAACGCTGCTGGCGCCCCTCTGGGGGAAGTGTGAGTAACCCCCTCTCTACGAACCCCATCCTCTCCGAACCCCTGAACCTCGCACGTGCCTCCCCCCCCGGGCGCGCGGCCCGTCGAGGGGTCGCGGGAGGGAGCTGGGCAATGAGTATCGCTTAACCGATCCACATCCCCAGCGGCGTGGCCTGGGCCCCACTGGCAGATTTACCCCCCTAGATGGGGATGTAGGTCGTTCTCTTCGGGTTTCGAGGGGTGTATCCCCAACTGTGGGGGTAATTTGGTGGCGGTGTCGAAGGGGATGGGGATGGGGAGGGGGGTCGGATAAGCGATACCGAGGCAAGGGAGCCCGCAGCCAGGAGCGCCGTCGCGGCAGGGTGCCTTCGCCTCCCTGCTCGCCCGCCGTGCCTCGGAGGAGGAGCAGGTACCGATGCCGCTGCCCCTTTTGCTTCGCCCTTTTGGGGTTTCCTGGGGGGGCCCTCGTCGCCACCGCTGGATTCGCTTCGAAAATTCCTGTCAGAACGCACTCCGGGAGAGGTCCAGGGAGTGACGGTATTGGCACCTTTTGATTTCACCAGTATTGGTGACGACCCGAAGCAGAGACCAACGTCCTCCTTCGGAAATCTACCCAGTCCAAGTGTTCATGAAAGGTTCATTATTAACGGGAGGCAACCGTGGGGTGGAGAAACTTGCACCTTTCGTGCACCTTTTAGACCCGCAGTGACAGTTTAGGGGCCCTTGAGGGCCACGTTCCTGCAATCCTCGACCCCCCCAAGCTTGCTGCCCCCGAGGTCACCGTCCACCCGACCAGCGTCCGTACATGAATCTCTTACGGAGACACCAATCAATCCTTTCCTCAGGAGGTCCGCTTTCACTCGAGTGTGTTCCACGTTCTCGGGGGCGGCCAATAGGGCATGGCCGGCGGCATGCGCGCGGGCGACCCAGGGGGGGCAGGGACGTTCGCCCAGCTTCGCACAGAACCAGGCCACGAGCTTCCCCACGAGAGGCCCTGCCACGGATCTCCTCCGACGAAATTTCCCTGGAAGGAAAACACGCATCGTCGACGCAGAGCAGCGGCAAGCCTCGGCGCTCTGGACTGCAAAAGCGGAGAAGGTCCAGGAGGGACGTAGACATGATCGGGCACGGGGAAGAAGCGACTGAAGAGACAGAGATGGAGAGAGAAAAAATGAGAGGATTAAAACAAATTGCTTCGAGCGATTCCCACCGAAACCTTCGGCGTTCGATCTCGACTATGCTCCCGCCAATTGGAACGATGTGCGCGTGGCCCCGTGGTGTCGGCCAGTGCGACGGTCTGACCAAATCGCAAGTTGCCGATGTCCTGAGATCACGGAAAGAGCGAGGCACGAGTGATGACGTTGAGTTGGGGCGAAGCCCTTAAGGGGGGGTCCAGGGGGGGTGCGAGGCCCGGATGCGGTGGTCTAATGGCCGTTTTCGGGTTGTCCCTCGGGTTTTTGTATGGTTTTCAGGTTTTCCCCTTTTCCGTCCCAGAAGACCCCAGGACTGCCCAAGACAGCCCAAGACGGCCCAAGAGGCCTCCAAGAGGCCCCCAAGAGGAGCCCAAGGGGCGTCCCAAGAGGGCCCCAAGAGGCCAAAATCATTGATGCTCCATAGGAAAACGTACATATTTAGCATCTACTGCTTTTCGGCTTTCACGGCGTTGACGACGGCCCAAGAGGCCCCCAAGACCGCCCCAAGACGGCCCAAGAGGCTCTCAAGAGGCCCCCAAAACAGCCCAAGAGGGCCCCTAGACGACCCAAAAGGCGCCCAAGACGGCCCCATAGGGCCCGAACACGGGCCCAAGAGGGGGACCACGAACCGAAAAGTCTAGTCTAGCCGTTCGTCCCAAGACGCTCCCAGGAGGCCCCAAGAACCCCCCAAGAAGCCCCAAGAGGCCCCCAAGAGGCCCCAAGGATATCCCAACAGGCCCCCAAGAGCCCCAAAAGAGGCCCTCAAACGGCCCACCAGTTCTTGACACCCCGGCCCAGCCAAGGCTCAGGAACGGGCGGCAACGTAACAATCTCTGAACACCAGGGCTCCTAACGGAGACGGCGACGCAACAAGGTCTCCACACCAAGGCTCCCGAGAGCGAAGGGTGCCATGAGCTGCCCGGCGCAAGTGCCTGACGCGATCTTTCTGTCTCCGTGCCGGCCCAGGCCTAACGGCCCCAAAGCCGCTGACGGACGAAACCGAAACAAGCCCTGGGACGAACAACTAATCTCAAAAACATGTGAGTCGAGACCCCCTGAACATGTCCTGAAATAGTGAATGAGAATGAGAGGGGCACTAGCAGTAGCAATAGCAGTAGCAGTAACAATATTATAACTAGTCTTCGTCGTTGTCATAGTACGACTAGTACTAGAAGCAGCAGCAGCAGCAGCAGCAGCAGCAGCAGCAGCAGCAGCAGCAGTAGTAGTAGTAGTAGTAGTAGTAGTAGTAGTAGTAGTAGTAGTAGTAGTAGTAGTAGTAGTAGTAGTAGTAGTAGTAGTAGTGTAGTAGTAGTAGTAGCAGTAGCAGTAGTAGTAGTAGTAGTAGTAGTAGTAGTAGTAGTAGTAGTAGTAGTAGTAGTAGTAGTAGAATTAGTAGTAGTAGTAGTAGTAGTAGAAGTAGTAGTAGTAGTAGTAGTAGTAGTAGTGGTAGTAGTAGTAGTAGTAGTAGTAGTAGTATAAGTACTAGTGTAGTACTAGTAGTACCAGCAGTAATAGTAATTGTAGTAGTCGCAGTCGTCGTATTACTGGCTGTAGTCGTACAACTAGTAGTCGTTGCGCAGGTAGTAGTAGTAATAGTAGTAGTAGTAGTAGTAGTCGTCGGGGGGATAGTAATAGTAGTCGTAGAAGTAGTCGTAGTAGTAGGAGAAGTAGTAGTCGTAGTAGTAGTAGTAGTAGTAGTAGAAGAAGTAGAAGTAGAAGTAGAAATAGAAGTAGTGGTATTCGTACTAGCAGTAGTAGTAGTCGTAGTACTAGTACTAGTAGTAGTAGTAGTAGTAGTAGTAGTAGTAGTAGTAGTAGTAGTAGTAGTAGTGGTAGTAGTAGTAGTAGTAAAAATACTAGTAGTAGTCGTAGTAGCAGTAATAGTAGAAGTAGCTGTAGTAGTAGTAGTAGTAGTAGTAGTAGTAGTTGTTGTAGTAGTAGTAGTAGCAGCAACAGAAGCAGCAATAGTAGTAGTACGAATTCTAGTGGCAGAAGCAGTAGTAATAGTAATAGTAATAATAGTAATAGTAGTAGTCGTCGTCGTACTAGTACTAATAATAGTAGTAGCACTAATCGCAATAGAAAATAATAGAAGTCAGGGCAGTCCGGCGCGACGCCGTGACGCCAGTCACATGTGATACGTTGTCAAATATGTCGTTGCTCCGACTGGTTGGTCCAGTGGCCAGCCTGAATTCGGCGGGCACGTTGCGTTCAATAACATTAGAATACGGTGTGTCATGTCATGGCGTTCCTCTTCAAATATGTTGTTTCTTATCATAGGGAATGCTCTTCTGCACTGTGCCACAATGTTATAGCCTGATCTGATCTGGCTGTTATTTGCTATGTTATGCGCTAATCAGTGATATGGTGTACGTTATGCTGAGTTCATTGTCGTATACGATGCCCTGCTCAAGTATGGCATACCTCTTCCATGAAGGTATAGTCTTTGGTATTAGGTCAAGCGCTTCGCCTGATGAGTATGAAGAGTATGACGTTGTGCTCTGTTTGTTCTCTATCCATGACATTGTTCTGTGCTCTGTTATCCTCTGCGAAATTATAAAATCTGCGATGCTCGAATACATTCGTTTCCCTCGTGGTGCACTAGTAAAGCAGTGCGGGTGCGTTCTGGTATGATCTGCGATGATACACCCCACTATGCTCCACTATGTCGTGATGTGCTTTGGTATTCGTAGTTTTGCTAGATGCTGCGTTATGTCATGCTCTGTTCTGCCATGACATAGTATGTGATTGTGTCTCTTATGTCCTGCTCTGATAAAACAGGTTTTGCCAGGATACAGCATGGTATGCGTTGCCATGGTATGACATGATGCGAGTCTATCTTATGTTATGGTATGTTAGGTTGTGAGAAATGTTATGCGCTGCTCTCTTACGCTATGCTCTGGTGTAGGATGCCTTTTGTTGTTATGCTGTGGTATGTTATGTTATAGCATGATCGAACCATGATGTTGTTGCATGCGTTGGTATGGGGTGTCTTTGTGGGTCCTGTTCTGACATGATACGGCTTGTTATGCGTTGTTATGTTATGGTGGAACGATGGTAACGATATGACATGCTCTAATATAGTGTGCGATGCCGCGCTCTGTACTGGCATGACTCGTCAGTTT